GCCAGAGACAGACTTCACAACAAGGCCGAAAGGAAACACAGAGATCAAGGTCGTAGTACTTGAACCTGCGTTTTTGCCCCAACTTCCTTCCACCGGAGACAGGAAGGTGTGGGTGGGTTTTCTATATTCGTCCGTTCCCCAAGAAAGAAAAGAAGGAGAGAAGAAAAAAAAAGCTATTAACGTGAATAAACAGTCAATATTATCCCCATAAACAGAAACGAGCATTGTGCCACGAAGTCCATGATGTTGGCACAAACGGTATCACATTGCGAACCGGCGCCCCGCTGAATGAGCCGCATCGACAACAACAGGGTATATCTAGGCCTCTACATGGGCTTCGCTGACATTGCCCTGGCTTGCCTCGCGGGCCATGCGAGCCTCGATCTCTCTGAGCTGGCTCTCGCGGGCCAGCAGCTCCTGCCGCTTCTCGGCAATCTCGCGCTGTACCTTGAGCTCGATCTCGCGCAGCTTCTCCTCCTCGCGGCGGAGCTGCTCCTCCTTGAGGCGCACGGATTGCGAAGCAAGGTCTTCGGGGTTCATGCTGGAGTCTTGGCCCCTGTTCAGTGGGTTAGCTAGGGTTTCTATTTGGGGAGATGTAGGGAACACATACGAAGTACCGTCCACGCTCTTGCTGAGCTTCTCGGTACGGTAGTTCTCGTAGAGGAAGTCGTGCGTGATCTCCTTCAGATCAGCCAAGTGGCTGTGCAGCAGAGCGCTGCGGATGGCCAGGAAGTCCGAGTGCCGGGGGTTCTCAACCTCGACCACACCCCATGGGTACTGCCGGGCGCGCACTTTTCGGTTGTCGATCTCGACAAAGTCCTCTGAGCCGACAATGGCGAACGGCATCAGGCCACGGAGCTCGGCGTTCTCCTCCACGGTGTCCTCGTCATCCTCCTCGATATCATAGGGGAAGTTGTAGACGGGGATGCGGTAGTGTTCAATGTCCTCCATGATCAGCTTCTTGGACTCGGCCAGTTCGGCGGGGGTGAGCGAGTCGGCCTTTCCGATGACGGGGATGACGTTGACACGCGGAGACAGACGCTTCATCAATTCGATGTCGAGTTCGCGCAGGCCGTGGCCCGTGGGCGTGATGAAGTACATCATGACATGCACTCGGTTGTCCCTGAATCGCGGGTTACGCTTGATCCGCGACTCCTCCGCCAGAATGTCATCGTATTGGCGCTCGAGATAACCGACAATCTCACCGAAGCTGGATGAAAAACATTAGTCAGGGAGGAGCGCTGAATGGGGGGTGATGGGAGTAGCGTACCTCGCCTCATTGTCAATCTGGTCACCAAAGCCGGGGGTATCGACAATGGTCAGGGAGATGCGAGTGCCCTCCTCATCCAATTCCAACTCTGTCATCCGCAAATCAGCATTGGCCCACTATGTGAGACCAGAATCCACTCACCGACGGTGACGGGCTTGATGCGGACACCTTCCTCGATGTGGGCATGGTCAGGATCGTCGGCCTCCTTGCTCTCCAGGACCTGCTTGCCACAGAGGGTGTTGACAAAGGTTGTGCGCCCTAGAGGGTGGTTGTGTCAGCAACAATTGGCGGCATGAACACCTGGAGAGGCATACCGGTTCCGCTGGCACCGCACACCATCAAACAAAACTGAATTCCCTTCTTGACATTCTTCTTGCGGCGAATCTTGATCTAGAAAGGAGGCAGCGTTAGCATTTTTGTGGATGCGGCGGCCGTCACTTTTTTTTTTTGTTGGGCGGGTGTTCGAGGGGATGGAAGCATGGAGCGAGTGGAGGGCCGAAAAAAGGGGAAGAGCATACCGCATTGAGAGCCGACGACATGGTGGGCTAGACAAGGAGGAAAAGGGGATGAAGGACAGAAATGAAAGTCGCAGGTAGAGGAGGAGTGGACGGACACAGAAGGGAAGGAGGGTGTGAAACTCGAAGCTCTCTCCTGAGTTGAGTTAGGGGGGGAAAGAGCGAGTGTTGCCCCCTTTCCCTTTCCATCGGGCCAATCACGGGACTGCGTGCACGCCCACACGACTATAGTTCATGCTCTAGAGTTAACCCGAATAATTGATCAGGATGCAACAAATACGACCATTGGCACTTCGATTCACCAACACTTCTCACCCTCGCTCTCTAATTCATGCGCCGCAGTGTTCGTCCGTTGCGCGGCTCAGGGGTTGACCAGTGGCCCACATACTAGTCATTATGTAATTCTCCTGCCTCAGGCATCCACAGCTCGCCCGGGGGAAGCTTATCCGCTTATCGCCGTAGCTGGGGAACATCCACCATTCTACTGTTTCTTCCTCACGAAGATGCCCACCTGCCATGGACACCCGCCAGGTCATCGATGAGTCAGTCGGGCCCTACTCCCTGTCTGCCACCTTCAACCATGACACCAGTTGCTTCTCTGTCGGCCTGGACACGGGCTTCTGCGGTAAGAGATGGGCTCACACCGACCTCCGACGGAACTAACCAACAACACACCCCAGTGTTCAACTCAGACCCATGCGAACTCAAGGTCTCCAGAGGTGAGACAAACACCCCAGCCCGGTGACACCCCTTGCTGATAAGTTCTCTGTGGAATTCTGCGATAGACTTCAATGCAGGCATCGGCGTCGCCGAAATGCTCGGCCAGTCCAACTACTTGGCCATCGTGGGCGGAGGACGGAATCCCAAGTTCCCCCAGAACAAGGTGCGCGCGGCAGACGGTCCGATAACATCACCTCAATACTCACTATAAACCATTCTCGCTACAGCTGGTGATCTGGGATGATGCAAAGCAAAAAGCGGCTATCACACTCGAGTTTCGCACCTCGGTCCTGGGAGTCCGGCTCTCCAAATCCCGCATCGTGGTTGCGCTGCTGAACAGCGTGCACGTCTTCGCCTTTTCCAATCCGCCGCAGAAGCTGTCCGTGTTCGAGACGACGGATAACCCGTCGGGGCTGGCTTGTTTGGGACGAAAACTGCTCGCCTTTCCGGGTCGGTCCGCCGGTCAGGTGCAGATGATCGAGCTGGAGACGGGCAATATCAGCATCATCCCCGCCCACAGCTCACCACTACGGGCGATGGCGTTGAGTCCCGACGGCGAGCTGCTGGCCACGGCGAGCGAAGTGGGGACGCTGATTCGAATCTTTGCGACGGCCAACTGCACCAAACTGGCCGAGTTACGACGGGGCGTGGACCACGCGGTGATATTCTCTCTGGCATTCTCCCCATCTAATACATTACTGGCTGTGACGTCCGACAAATCAACCCTGCATATCTTCGATCTGCCCCATCCCCATCCCACCCCGCGCCGCAGCCAGTCGCCGGCATCGCAGTCCGAGGAGACGGCCAGCCACAAATGGGGAATCCTAGGGAGAATTCCTCTGCTGCCCCGAATGTTCTCTGACGTATATTCCTTTGCCCAGGCGCATTTTGAGATCGGCGATGAGCCGGCCACTCCGGGGTCCCCCTACGTGCCACCGCTCGGATCGTCGATGGGCCGATCCCCCAAGGGCGTCATCGGCTGGCTGAATGATCAGACCCTGTTGGTGATTAGCGCGGGCCGAGAAGGGCGCTGGGAGAAGTTTGCTCTTCGGGAAGGCGAGGAAGGAAAGAGAGATTGTGTGCGGGAAGGCTGGAAGCGATATCTCGGCGGTGGGTGACTATAGTAGAGAGCATGCGGCCACCATAATTTAGATGCAATAATGAATCCAACGATATTCTTTCAGCGATGGCGGTCATGTCGGTCCCGGTCACCACTCCGATGCCTGCGCGACTCGGGCGAGCGCGATCTCCCCGGCGTCCGATCTCTGTATTTCTCGTCCCGGTCGTGCTCGCGGTGCCGCGATCGCTTCTCTTTAGCCGGAGACCGGTCCTCTCGGTGTCTGCGCTCGCGAGAACGAGACCGATGCCGACGATGATGGCGGCTCGATCGCTCTCTGCTGTCGTCCCGGCGGCGAGAGGACTTCTTCTCGCTGCTCTTCCACAGCTCAATGGCGCGCGCAACCTCCTCCTTCTTCTCCTCGATGAGGAATTCCTTCATGGGATCTTCCTCGTCATGGTCACGGATCAACGCCTCGAGCTCCCTCTCCTCCTTGAGCATGGGCCGTATCGCTTTTGTGTCGCTCGTCCGTCTCTTCCTCTGGCGGCCATGCCGGTCTTTGTCTCGGTCCTCACTGGCCGTCGCATCGCCCATCAGCTTGGCGACGTTGTCCTCCTCTTCCTCCTCATCTTTGCGCTTGTACCGCGCATGGTCTACCCGGAGCATCCGACCGAGAACCGTCGCGCCGCCCAGGTTGTCCACGGCTAGATCGGTGCTGCGCTGGTCCTCATATTTGAGAAATGCGAAGCCCTTGCTTTTGCCCGTCTCCTTGTCGCGGATCAGGTTGATGTGCACTGGTTCGCCGTATTGAGAGAATATGGTCACGATGTCGCCCTCTGACAGGTCAAATGGGAGCCCGCCGATGTAGATGTAAGCTGTATCGCGGTAGTCGGCGTGCCATGATGCTTCGGGAGGTCTGTTGTAGGAAAGTAGGAGAGTCAGTAACCCTTCATGAGGTACCAGGGGGACAGTCCGGTATAGAACTTACACGGCATTCTCCAGCTCGCGCTTGTTCAGCGCCTGAGTCTGGCGGATGGAGTTCATGGTGGTGGTGTTGCAGAAGGGGAAAACGGGCAAAGAAAGAAAGTCAGTTGGGTCCCACCCGCACGCCGCCCATGTTTACTGAACTTGACCGTGTTAACAACTCCTGACCCGACATTATTGGGTCTGGCACCAACCTATTTATTTTTTTCAAGGGCTTTCACGATCCCACCAAGTGGTGTCTATCGCGTTGAGCATCTCGCGCCCTCCACCTCCCGCACTCTTTACATCACCCGATTCGATTCCCCTGACCCGATCGCTGCATCCTTCCTAGCAACCCAACCTCCCCGACACGGCACCGCATTTTCGCGCCCGCCCCGTCGACGACCCTGCGGCTTGTCCCCGGCGCTTGGAATGGTTGATGCCCGACCGAGGCATGGCGGGACTTGACCAGACGATGTCGTCCAGCCCGAATCGCGGTTCGAAATCGGCGGCCAACAGCAACAACAACAACAGTCGGCCAACCAGCAAAGATGGCTCCAAAAAGAACATTTGGTCTTCTCTGCTGGATGGCGTCGCTAACGGAAAGCGCTTGCCGGAGAAAAACCTTTTGATTCTCGGTGCGTACATCTCCTGACCAGAGGCTATCCATCCCCTGTCTTCTCTGTCCGGACTTGGGAGCTGATTTGATTGATCGTCTTGACTGCAGGAGGAACACCGGACAGCCAGAGAGAGTTTCTAGAGACTCTTTCAGCAGATACATCGGCCGACCCCAGCTTGGTGAATGATAAGCGCAGAGGCAAGACGCCGCCGATTGCCAACCAGTTTGCGCTGGGATACACATATCGAGATGTTCTCGACGCCGATAGAGAAGGTATATTTACGGCAATTTTTTTTTTTTTTTTTTTTTTTTTTTTTTTGGACTTGGAGCTCTGCTAACTCTCGCCTATATCAAGACACTCTGGCGCGTGTCTCGGCGTACCTCCTATCCGAACCTTCTCTGTCATTCGCACCTCTCCTCAAACCGCTCTTGACTCCCCAATCCGTGCCAGAAACGCTGGTGGTAATTCTTATGGACTGGTCAGACCCGTGGACATGGATCCGACGACTACGGGAGTGGGTCCGTCTGCTTCGTTCGGTGCTGGTTTCTGTGGACGACGAGACCAAAATTGCCATGGAGGAGACGATGACGGAGTGGCGTGATCGTAAGAGAGGTATGGACGCCAGTGCTGCTGCGGCAGCAAGTTCGGGAGGTCCTGTCACGATACCCTTGGGACCGGGCGAATGGGACGAAGGGCTTGGACTTCCCATGTGTGTTGTCTGTCAAGGAGTATGTGGCACTGCACAATTCGAGTTGTAAGGATGGTTGCTCATTGTTTCCTGCAGGCCGACAAAATCGAGAAGTTGGAGAAAGACCACGGGTGGCATGAAGAGGAGTTTGACTTCATTCTCCAGTTCCTGCGAACAATCTTATTGAAGCGTGAGTTCTCCTACCAGTATGGCAGCAGATATGACTAGTTCTAATCCGTGACAGACGGCGCATCTCTCATTTATACGACACCTTTCCTTGCAAACTCACTCCAGAGTCTGATCCATTCGTCGCTGGGTATACATTCTCTTTTGAAGAGACAGTCATTAAAACACAATGTCATCGACCGTGACAAGATTCTCGTCCCTGCCAACTGGGACTCATGGGGCAAGATCCGGATTATTCGGGAAGGATTCGACATGGAAGGCGTGTCGACGGCATGGTCGATTGAAATCCAAGATGCCCCCGAGCCACTCGATTTCGCGCAGCCTGTCGAGAACACCGCGCAAGGCGAGAATACCGCAGCTGAGGAGGACGGCAGCAGCGCCGTGACGGTGTTCGAGCAGACGATCCAAGATCCCCGCCGGGACAGGACGGTCGCCCACCCCAGCGGCAACGCCAATGGCGACTCCGTGGAAATCGAGACGTCCGACATGCAGAATTTTCTCTCCAAGCAACTCGAGAAGCTTGAGCAGCTCAAGGCCGAGGATGAAAAGGACCGCGCGAATCAGCAAACTCCGCAGCTGGAAATGTCGCCGATGGACGACCAGGGCCGGGTCAACGAGCACATCGGGCCCGTGCAGTTCAACATGGGAGGCATCCAGGTGGACGCGGATGATATGCTGAAGAAGCTGAGGGTGAGTACCATCTTTATTCATCTGCCAGGCCCCGCTAACTCTGTCCCTCTCTATCTAGGACCGCGAAGCTAGTCGATCTCAACGGAAGGAAGGGGCCCCGACCAGTCCAGGCGACGAGAAAGCGCACAACCAGGCGCTGGCCAACTTCTTCGCCGGTCTGGTCAAGAAACCTGGCAGCAGTCCTCGCGGCAGTCCGTCCACGTGAGGAAGGGGGAAGAGGACATTCTCTGTATTTTAGTTGATCTCGAGTACATAATCATTTGGGAAATCCAGGCTTTCGGGGCTAGACACGGTGATACCAATCAATCAATTCTATTTTGTTTTATAGTTGAAACGGTTGGGTTAAGATTAAGGTTGCAGGCATGTGACGGCCCTCGGTTTCGTTCCACCTCAACTTCACTTGCCACTCACTTCGTTGCTAAGTAGTTACTACTGCGACAAATGCTCAACAATAAGCAAAATGGCTCCCTCACATTCATCACCGCCAGCTAGCGGGTCTACCGGCTTCTTCCAGCAGCCACCGCGCCTAACAAACGCCTTCGACGAAGACGAGGCCTTCAAGCGGATCTTCACCTGTAGCTATTCCCCATGCCCCACGCCCCTTTGGAACTCACTCCCTTCCCCCAGATGCTAACCAAACAATACAGTCTACCTCCCTCCACCTCTACAACAAACCCTCAAACCCGAAATTTCCAGCTTCGGAGCCCGCGTGCTAGATCGCCGCGTGCTCGCCCATCTAGCAGACGCAGAGCGCAACCCACCCTACCTACGCACATGGGACAGTTTCGGGCATCGTGTCGACGAGCTTGTCACCTCGGAAGGATGGCGTGCACTCTCGGCGATAGGTATCTCAGAGGGTATGGTTGCCATCGCCTACGAGAACCGGTATGGCCCGCATAGCCGGGTTTATCAGTTCCTGAAGTACCATCTCTGGAGTGGAAGTAGTGCCATCGTGACCTGTCCGTCCGCGATGGCGGACGGGGCGGCGAGATTACTGTCCAGACAGCTTGCGAAGACTTCTTCAGATCAGCACGCTCAAGCTCTGGGTTCTACAGAGAGACAGGTCTTCGAGACCGCTTTCCGCCATCTCATATCCCGAGACCCGAAAAGCGCATGGACGAGCGGGCAATGGATGACGGAACGCCCTGGTGGTAGCGATGTCCGCAACACAGAGACGCAGGCTACCTACACGCCCGGCTTCAGCGTATCCGACAGCCACCTCGACACAGACAGCCAACCCCTCGGACCGTGGTCCATCTCCGGCTTCAAATGGTTCAGCTCAGCAACAGACTCACAGATGTCAGTGATGCTGGCAAAACTCCCCGACGGCACACTATCAGCCTTCTTCGCGCCCATGCGCCGCCAGAACCGACAAACCGGCGAGCCCGAGCTCAACGGTGTCCAGATCCAGCGGCTCAAATCTAAACTCGGCACCCGCGCCCTCCCAACGGCCGAACTGGCCCTGTCGCGCATGCGCGCGTACATGATCGGTGCCCCGGGCGCGGGGGTCAAGGAAATCAGCACCATCCTCAATATCACGCGCGTGCATAATATCGTCTCCGCGGTGGGACTCTGGGGCCGCGGACTAGCGATCTCGCGCGGATTTGCGCGTGTGCGTTCCTCTGGGGGAAGACTACTCCTCGACACGCCGGCGCATGTGCGCACGCTGGCGCAGCAGCATGTCGAGTATAGGGCTATGATGCATCTTTCATTCCTGGTCGTGTTACTACTCGGCGTGTCAGAGAATGGGGGTGTAACGGCGCAGCTCGACGCGCCCGTCCTGGGGAATTCATCTCCAAAAATGGCAGCCCATCTGCTCAGGCTGGTCACCCCGGTCGCGAAAGCTACTACTGCGCGCGCGGCGATTGCCGGGTTAGCAGAGTGCGTGGAGTCTATGGGTGGTGTTGGATACTTGGAGAATGAAGATGCGGAGTTGAATATCGCGCGGCTGTATCGCGATGCTAACGTGCTGAGTATTTGGGAGGGTACGACAAATGTCATGGCTGATGATGTGGTGCGCGTGCTCAAAGCCCGAGACGGCCCGCAGGTGCTCGAGAGTCTGGATCAGTGGATTCAGGGCATTGCCTCTGTTGGTTCGGCTTCGTCCGTGTCCACGTCCGCGTCGAAGACACTCCGTGCTGCGTCCACCAGTCTGAAAGCACATGTCCTCGCCCAGTCGGCGGATAATCTCCGGCTGAATAGCCGTGCCTTACTTTCCAGGCTGGGCTGGCTTGTCTGTGGTGCGTTACTTGTGGCAGATGCGGCGAGGGATGGCGACCTGGTTGCTTGGGAGGTGGTGGCTCGGTGGATGCAGAGGAAAGAGACGGCGTTGTATGGGTTTGAGTTTTTGGAGGATGGACAGTCTCTTCCGAGTCTTGCTGGTGGTGACGAAGAGTCTGCTCGGGGTGTGGACATGGATCGCCGGATTGTCTTTGGGGAGTCAGTTCAGCTGTCGCAGCGGGCGAAGATGTGAGTTGATGCGAGTTTGATATAGGGTTGGAAGGGCTGTATAACTATAGCCTACATTGTAGGTAGACATATCAATTGTTTTTCTTGTCATATCAGTGACGGTAAACCTGCCGCCTCCGATAGCGATTGACTCTGCGATCACTGGATAAGCCACTCACTGAGCACTCAGAGCTGGCCCTAGGGCTCTAATACACTACCACTACGGGCAAGCATTTTCGCGTGCCCTGCCATGGACCACGACTAGATCGGCGCGCCATAGCGCAGAGTGAAGACACTCACCGTCGGCCTGAGTATAACTCCGAATTAGATATTGAGCAAATGGTCTATATTATGCTAGGGTTCCTAGTGATATTCTAGATGTGAATAAGTGTGTATTTGGTAATGTAGCTAAGGAAGGTGCGTAAATGGCCCAAAGGTGTGAAAGGCAAAGCAGAAAAGTACGGGAAGGTGATCGTCCACCTCCGACAACAAGGCCCCGCTATAGCACTATTCCTAACATAAACCTACGCTTGACCGCATCATCAAACAGGTGGCTCGCCTTGAACGACTGGGAGCGGCTCTGTCTCGGGAACTGACATTGTCTTCCAGGCTTCGTGGTCAACAACCATGTAATCGTCGACTTCCTTCAATGTTCGCGAGAAATCGCTCACACCATGTCCCAGATTGCCCGGCTTTCCAGCGAACGAAAACCACTGCTCCGTAATACCAGTATCAGCACCAGTCCCTTCGACAATAGTCTCGTTCCAGTAGTACATGCTCGATGCATTCTGTCTTGTCGCCAGAGTCTCTATTCCAGTTGATGTCCCGGTGAGATAAGGTAAGGTATTGACTCCAAATGCAACCAGGCTCCGATCAATCAGAGTGTAGACAGAGGAGAGTGAAGCGAGCGACGGGGCAATAATGTAGGCACTGAATAGATTTATGGGGTAATGGTAGGTATTGGTGGCCTCCGAGAAGGAGTTGGAAAAGCTTCCGGTGGACATCATGGCAAGGGATTGGTTGTAAGCCTCTGAGGACATGTTTTGAACGTTCGAAAATGACAGATCTTGTGTCCACGATGCCAGCCTTGGGCCTGTGGATGTGTGGACGGTGGAAGAAATTGAGAGTTTCCGGCTCGCTGTAAGAGAGAAGTAGAATGACGAGTTTGTGGTTGTTCCGTTTATCGTCGTCGTAGTCAGTCTAGGGGAAAATGAGAACAACGGGTCAGAAACATGACTCTCAATCATCTGCAAAATCTTAGTATAAAGCCATTCAGATCAAAGAAGTTGTACGTACGCTTCCCGTGGTTTGTTTTCCTTTCTTGTCAAGCCAGACAAACACGGACCCAGTGACGTACCAATTCTCTCCAATTGTGCCGACGTGACCTTTAATAGAGCTATCATACCCAACAACTTTGAGACCGAATGTATGGGCATGGCCATCACAGAGCAATGGGAGCCAAGGAGTAACGTCTACTTCAAAAGATGGCGAGTCGTATGCATCGATGCCTGCGATGGGTCTCCACAGACCCGGATCAACACCACCGGTGAAGAGAACGGGAAATGGCCACGAGACACCAGCAAGATTCCCATCAATAAGCAATTCAATCTCGCGGAAGGGACTAAATCCATAAAGCCACCCTGGATTACTCGGGAATGTATCGATGTATTCAGATGGGACATTGGTGTACCAAAACTCCTCAGCGCCATTTCCCGAGGCAAGTATAGACACGACGGCGCTTTTGGCGTTTCGAGGAAAGGTGATGGACACGGTGCCATTGTCTTCAGGAAGGGACATGACTGATGAAATGTTCTGCGAGGAAGCCAAATTTGTTATGGGATACACCAGATGGGCCGGGTCCAGGTCGATGTAACGGTCATTGAAATACAGGACTTCTAATGTCACGTTGAATGCACCTGTGTATAATTCTGAGTAGACATTGTCGAGATCAAAGATTATCTTCTGCTCGCGCCGAATCAGAGTGTCGAAGATAGTCATGTCTTTCTGGTAGTTCCAGTAAATGTCATAGCCACCAGGCATCGCAGTGGAGGTTCGCCATATTTCGGTATCTCCAAAGAAAAGCAGAGCAAGGCGGTCATATTGTCGACCAGATGATGTTATGGAGATATTAAAGATAGTGGTGGTAAACTCGCAGTCTTTGGGCGGGGTGTACGTGCCTAAAAGGAAAAGGTAAGCTCATGCATGTCACACAGCGACGTTAAATGATCATCAATTGAGATTTCAGCTACTCACCGACGTAAGGCACGCCATAGCTATTCGCAAAGACGTGGCTGAAAATAGTCTGAGTGCAGCTGGGATTATCGTAGTTCTTGCGGGGGGGAACTTGAGCCTGGACAACCTCCAAGGCTCTACTACCCTCTGATTTTCTTTTCACGCCATCTGCTGGCGAGAATGCGACAGTCGAACTTAGAAAGGCCAAAGCCAGAAGCATGGCCTCAGCGGAAGAGGCCCTCATGTTGTGTGCCGAGTTGGATTGGTTTACCGACTATTAACCGGCACCATTGAAATATATAAAGCTTTGTTCGGGCAAGAGAGATTCGGCCGCGTATGTCAACGTTATCGCTGCGCACGATACAGATGGCCGTTACGGGTAGTACTATCCTGAGGTATTGTTCATGAAACTTTGAAAGACCCACACTGGGGGAATTTGGTCTGGTCGAGACTCGATCAAGCATTTGGGGTTGCATGATATCTACACATGCACGCAGCAAATCCGTTTAATACGGCCCTGCGAGGACAATAGAAAATAGATCGATTGGACATAATTTCTTCATACCATATGATCAATACACCTGGACGGCTGACACTGAGCGATTAGTAGGAACCAGGCCACCTTGATAGCTTACGCGACCTGCTTGTTTACTTCAGACTTAAGATGCACCTCCGCGCGAGGTGACATTATAATGCACCAGCCAGCTGCCAGGGAATTCTCAAGAGGCGTCCCCAATCTGCCGATATGCTTAGCCCCAAATTCTGTCCTTATCTGACTACGACGTGAGGGGTGAAATGAAATGACCGGGTTCCGGCACGGATTCGGACTTGGGGGCGTGACACCCATGGTCCCCGCAGATCATCAACCTACCCCTTCCCGATATAAGCAACACCAAACTGGTACCATTTTCTAACGTCATCTTAAATTATATGTAACTACGGATCCCTTCCTGATTACCTAGGCGTACAGGGGTTGAAGATATCGCGTCGACTGCTGTAAGAGCGGAAAATCCATCGGCAAAACGCAAGCGCGCTAGAGTACGCGCTAAAAATCGGCTATATCGATTTCTTAAGTACCGCCTGTAGTTAGTTATCTGACTATTTTACGGTCTAGATTCAGTGACTAATAGCAACCTGATTCCTAAAGCCGCCGGTACACCTGTCGGTGAAATAGCGATGCAATTTCAATATCATCCTCAACTCAAAACTTTTATAGGACTCTTTCTTCTACCTCATCCTTGTTTTACACGGCACAGAACACAAAAGAGTGTCGGTAGAAGATCTATTAGACCAATCATTCCTTTCGTATCACGTAATAATTTGGGCCAATTATCTTCTGGCCGCAAAGACGTCATGCATAGTCTTGATGATGGGCTGCTCTGAAGAGCGCGATCTGTCAAGGATGATATTACCGTGTGGCGTCGAAAGCTGCCGTTTTTGGCGCCTAATTTACCGTCACCTAGAGCCAGCCATGACCCAAAACCTATGCATATTGTGAATAGACACTGAGCAACCACCCTCCACAATAAAACACTCTCTCACCAATTCTCCCACACGGCATGAGGCAACACCTTCCTCATGATAGCCCAATGCTCCAACGCGCCCCGATCATGAAACTTATACAATCTACCCACCTCCTTCTGCACAAGCAACGCTCTCCCGCCCTTAGGAACAGCCGCGAACATGTCAGGGTCGAGCTCATGTTTCGGCACGAGATACGACTCGCGCGACTTGCTGCGCAGGAAATCCGCCTCCACAGGTTCGCGGAAGCGCAGCGGGGTTCTGGTGCTCTTCTTGCAGAATAGGACCATGTTCGTGAAGTTGGGGTTCTCTGCATCAGGCCCGCCGGGTGCTTCCTCGCGGAAGATGCGGCAGCTTGGGAATACGGACCGGATGGTGCGGACTATTAGACCGCTTGGGTAGAGGGTAAGGTCGCCGGCGTAGTTCTGGGCATTTGGGTTAGTATATAGAGAAGACGGAGGTTGGGTCGTTGGTGGAGGTATTGGGACAGGCTTACGATGGCGATGACTCCGTCATCTCTGAGCAGCGAGTTCAGCTCTTCCAGAAACTCGAAGGTGAATAGCTCGGCGGGCTCGGCGCCGCCGGTGAACACGTCGTGCACAATATAATCGTATTTCTGGGCCTTTGACTGGGCACGCTTGACGAATTTCGTAGCGTCCTCGATGGCAGCGATGTGGTTGGAAGGCAGGTTGAAATATTGCGTGGCGAATTTGTACACGACAGGGTCGAGCTCGACGATGGTCGTGTCGACGCCATGCTTCATTAGGGCGGCAGGCGTTGTGCCGATTCCCAGGCCGCTGTTCGAAGCCTTTTGTCAATTATCTCCCTTTGCAAATAAGATGAAATCGGGGGAATATCATACATCACCAGCGCTTTACTGGCTGCGTCCACGCGCGATGCAGCGTGCTCCGGCTCAACCAGTCGAACAGCCTCGAGCATGGCAAAGACCGCGTAAATAGGATCTTCCACTTCAGGCCGGTAGCCCGGCACCATCTTGGTCCACTGTCCGCCGAGGAGGCTGTGGTCACAGCGCATGACGCGGAAACCATCCTGGTGGTTCTCCAAAACGGAGATGTACCCAGTGTATGAGTCCTGGCGTGCAAGCAAGGAGTAACCTTCAGTATTCAGGACTGAGTTAACAGCGGAGATTCCGCCAATATGGACGTTTGAAGTCATCGTGAAGAGTAGTGATGGAAGTGCCAAAAGCAGCAACTTCGACGGGACCAACGCGGCATAGCCCGCAGCAATGAGAAACTGCATGCCGGTGCGAGTAAAAAGAAACGTGAACCCAATGGCCCTAGACACAAAAGCCTTGGCGAAGTGCTCGCCGATGGAGTAGATGAAATACGAGCCCAGCAGCGGGACATGTTCGGCAACCAAATCCCCCTGCGCCTCCAGATGAAGCGACGCCTGGATCTGCTTGCCGGCAACCGCAACTGTCAGAAAGACCAGCGGGTAATACCCGAACAGCTCGGTGACTGCAGGACCAGCGGGGTTTCCTAGCAGCGAGCTCTGCTGCATGACAAAGTACTGCAGGGTTGGGATCCAGAACGCCAGCACTGGAAGCAGGTAGCCCGCTAGACGGCCGATGCGTCGCTGCACCTGGTCTTTCAGGAACCATCCTGCTCCGGCGAAGATGGCTACGCCGTAGCTGTGGAAGATGTGCGCTGGCACGCTGCCATACACTGGGGAGAGCACCAGTAGCGACACGGGAGAATAGAATGCCAGGAGGACGAGTAGTCCTACGCCGGCACCAAGGCGCGGGAGGTCGACTCGCTGGAGGAATTGATCAACAGGCATATTGACGCGCGATTTTGGGAGCAGCGCGTCTGTTGAGGATAGTTAGCATGTAGCTAGAGAATTGTAGCATGTAGAATAGAATGAATCGGCCGAGTTAAGATCTTACATGTCCAAGAGAAGGTGTGCCAGGATAAGGAGCAAAAAAAAAAGAGCTATGACCTAGTTTGGAGCTTTTGCTTTTGCCGCCGCCTTCCGCGTTCCTCAACTTCTTCTGACGACATCACTCCAATAATATTCTCCATTAATATTCCAACAACCACCATGCCCCATTTCCCCATGGACACCGGCTTCAAGTCGTCCTCGCCGGAATCCTCCCGCGACAACACTCACCGGCTCTCCATCCAGACGAAAAACCGCCGAAAGCGGTATCTGGACCTACATCCCGAGTACTTCTCGACGGAGCTCGAGCTAGCCGGTCCGCGTGCTCTCTCTCTCTTTTTCTCGCGCATATCACAGCAACAACAAGACACAACAATCATAACTACCGTCTTTCTAGATGCTAATGCTAACACATACCCTCCCAATCAACAGACCCCCTCCTCTACGACCGCCTAATCCGACGCTTCCAAACCCCGCAAGAAAGAGAGGAATCCGGACGCGCGAAGGGATTCTCAGGTGTCCTTCAGGCAGATCTGGCCCGGTCCGAGGCGAAGATGGATGCGCTGGCGCACCCAGATCCCAACGCCATGCTGAGCTACGCGCGAGGTCCGGATGGGGAGATCCTCGCCGAGGACCGCGATGAGATCCCCGGCAGCAAGGAGGAGGGCGAGAAGCAGTGGCGCTGGGAGATGGAGCTACGGTTTCTGCGCGGCGATGATTCGGATTTTGAGTATGGGGCTGTGGATGAGGATGAGGATTTGGATGATTGGTCGGAGACGCAGGAGAAATATTTTGAAGAGGAGGAGCCGGAGTGGGTGGTTGGGGATGATAATGCTGGGGGGAGGATGGGGAGAGAGAGCTGAAAGGTGAGACGGGGGTTCAGGATTTTTGACTTCTTGGGCGGGCTGGCTGCTTTGGTGCTGGTCGCCGGGCTGAATTGATGATACGACGATACGATACTAAAATGATCAATTGCATCTACATCCATAACCATCCTTTGGTGGACTATTTACAGCTCATGCTTGTTTATATACACACGGTCATTGCTCCAGCAACCGCTTGACGGCCATCTCCTTCAGCTTGAACTTCTGAATCTTCCCACTCGCCGTCTTGGGGAAGGGCTCCGACGGTCCCAGGAAGAAGACATACTTGGGAACTACCAGGCGGGTCAGCAAGGTTCTTCCTCGGTGACATGTCTAACTTACCAAGATGGCTACTCAACTTCTCGCGCACCCATTGCTGGATATCCTCCGTGCGGACGGCACTCGAGCCATGGTCCCGCGCAATCACAAACGCGGCGACGACCTCGCCGTATCTCTCATCAGGAACTCCGACGACAGACACGTCGGCGATCCCTTCGTGGGCAAGCAGGCAGTTCTCGATCTCGAGCGGGTGGATGTTCTCGCCGCCACGGATGATCAGGTCTTTGATCCGGCCGGTGATGCTGATGTAGCCATCCGGGGACATGGAAGCTTCGTCGCCGGTCTATTTCACGAAAGATCAGCATTGTCCAAACGGAGGGAGATGTTCAACGTACATGCATCCAGACCTTCCCTGTCTCATCTGGGATCATCACCTCCAGTGTCTTCGCGGAGTCGTCCCAGTACTCCTTCATAAGCAGGTATCCGCTAACGGCCAGCTCCCCCCGTGTCTCAATGGGAAGGATCTGGCTCTTATCCGTCGCGCTAACGATCTTAGCCTCCACATGAGGCATGAGTCTCCCCACTGAATTGATCCGCTTGTCAATCGGATCATCGGTCGTGGTCATCGCCGAGACCGGGCTGGTCTCCGTCATGCCATAGCAGATAGTCAGCTCGGTGAGATTGAGCACACGGTGCAACTTCTTCATCAGCTCCGCGGGGATACTGCTTCCCGCTGCAATCCCCGTGCGCAGATGCTGGAAGCCCTCGTCAGCGACCTCGCCTTCTTCGATCAGACCGAGTTCTTCGAGGAACATGGTCGGCACGCCGTACAGCGCAGTGCATTGTTCTTCCTGAACTGCTTTCAGGGCAGCGCGGGCGTTGAATGACTCCGTTGGGAAGACGATCGCGGAGCCGTGCGTGGCTGTCGCCATGTATCCTAGGATGCAGCCGAAGCAATGAAACAGTGGTGGCGGGCAGCAGACGATATCGTTCGGAGTGAGGAGCATTCGATCACCGATCTGGGCGCCGTTGTTCAGGATTGATCGGTGGCTGAGGCATGCAGCCTTGGGCATGGCTGTTGTTCCGGAGGTGAATTGGATGTTGACGATGTCATGCGGTGAGAGGTCCTGTGGTGGCAGTGGGTTCCCGTCTGCCGTCAGTTGAGACGTGACCGAGGAGAACGGCGTGAGACTTTTATATGACAAGAGGTCTACACGGCCCGCGGAATTGTCCACTGTGATAATGTTTTTCAACGAAGGAACCACGGCCGACTGCAGCTTTGGCTGGGACAGATCCTCGACCAAGCTTTTCAGCAGCGGGAGGTTGCTGCGGGGATCTTTTCGGGGCAGATTGGCCTCGGCGCTGATGATCAGATGGCTGGCTTCTAAGTGGCTGAGTGCCGAAACCACCTGGGTAGCATTGAAAGACGGGTTGATCGGGACCTGAAGTATGGTGTTAATGCTATCATCTATCTCAAGTACTGGGTTGCTTACCAAGATAGCGCCGAGTTTGAATAACGCGTACGTAGCCTGCCCATAATGATGAATATCGTGCTGGCGATATGCGTAGAATTGGACAGACATACCACGGCGAACTCCATAGAATTCCCCAACATAACCCCAACCCGTTCTCCTTTGCGAACACCAACCGACTCCAGACCGCGGGCGAGGGCATTACTTCTAAAGTCGAGCGAAGCATAGGTCACTCTATCATTCTGGTGCTTCGAGACAACGCTAAACAAGTGATCAATGTCCTATTCTTACACCCGTTAAAAGGGGGAGTTATCTCACGCTGTTCGGTCTCCGCATTGAGCAACGATCTTGGCAAAGTGTTCCCCAACTGTCGATTCGATCAAGGGGGGCTGTGTACATCGGAGGTTTGTTAGTTTTGCATTGAACTCATTTCGGCTTGTTGTCAGGGGGGGAAGAAAGAAGGGTTTACATGTGATGGGCCCCGGGCATAGCTCTCTGTCAACAGGCCCCTTCGGACCTGGTGTTTGGCTCGGATTCGAGTTGGACGGGTGATACCAGAAAGGAGACGCGTCCGGGGGGCGGCTTTCCCCAGCAGTCCGTAGTAAGAGCCAGGCATGTTTGTTTTCGAAGCGGAGGAGAGGTAGGGTGTTACCGAAGCTGCATGACTTGCGTGCCAGGACGGTGGTGATAGACTTTCGGGATAGGATAATGTGGTAGGAATAATCAATATGGACTGTCCAGTCAAGGGTGACTGCAGTGAGCGAAGAATAGAAAGAGTGAAAGGAAAGTGACGAAGTACGAAGTTCGCTGGGGAGCTTTCCCCGCACCCGGGATGGATGCGGGGCCGGACAGCCAACCTAGGCTATTATGAAAGAGAGTGGAAAGATGAACACAATGGGATATAGGCTAGGCCTATCAGGAATAGTATAAACAATTAGTTGGTTAGGGGAAAGCACTCTACGGTGGGGTAGAGTTTGCATAAATTATCCCAACGATTGATGTGTGGTTCGTCTAGAGATTTTTCTCTCTTGTTTATTAGGTCCTAGAATGGATTACGGATATCGAATGGTTGTGTTAGGTGAAATGATGTGCACGTACAGGATTGGGCGTACCTGCAGAAACATGTAGGATGGAAATATATTTTGCATCATAGCTGTATTGTGACAGTCGATTGATGATGCATTAGCAAATTTGAATGTTTCCTTGTACGCTAGCTGTTCATATTGAACGTCTAGAACTACACATGTATGTACTCGTTAACTCCATAGGTAACGATGTAGCTGGCACATCGCTAAATCCTGCACGCATTGCTTATCTGCGGATTCGTCATGTGGTGGGGAAGATCGACTCCCGCATTTCTTCGCGACGGGCTCATTTCTTCCCCTTCCACCGACCTTCGGCCTGCCATGTCCTGCTAACCATCGGTCGCACACTCCTTCGAATGCCGAAGTCTGACAGCCCACCATGGACAAAGAACCGCCCGAGGAGGCCATCGCCAACTTCGTCAGCTTCACGAGCACCACGCGCGAGCAGGCCATCAGCTTCCTCAAGGTACAACTAAGCGACCCCAGAACTCTCTCCCAGTCCCACGCAGACACTGACCCAGTCGTTCTACCACAGGCAAACTACCTCGACTCCCAAAAAGCCATCAACGCCTACTTTGAAGATCCCACAGGTCCTCACCCAAAGGTACGTACCTTCTGTTGACGCCCTGGAGCTCCATGCCCTCGGCATTCGCGCTGACAGACAGCTGCCACACAGACGAGTGGCTACTTTCATGAAAACCCCTTACCCTGTATGTTTTCCTGTCTTTTGGCGACTTGCGCAGTGGCTGACCCTCTCCCTCCAGCTTTCGAATTCCCTCCGCACGACAATGCCCCCCGTCCCCCAGTGACCGTTCCTCCTTCTCGTCCTCCGTCCCGAGCGAATACGCATGATACTCCAGATGGCACTGGCTACCAAGCAGGCTACCAAGCACCGACAGAGAGTACTGCGCAAGGTACTACGGGTGAGGAAGCCCAAACAACCACCGGGGAGGAAGCGCTTGCTGATCTGAGGCCACAGATTCTGGGCAGGGATTGAGTCTGGCCGAGCGAGAAGAAAACGAACTTCAGCGGGCTGTCGCCATGTCTCTTAACCAGGGAATGGGCGAGCAAGAGACTGGGGTGGTGACGTCGACCGGCGAATCGCACTTTGGCAAGGCCACACGGGACCACTACGACGAGGGGGCATGGGCGATGACCCTGTTCAACACGTCCTCCCATGAAGTCATCATCAGCCCGGACCCCGAAGACAGGAAAAAAGTCGACGACGAGCCTGCTTTCATCCGGCCGTCTCAGGACAATCTCTACCTGGGCGGGTTCCTGACTATTCTCCACAGCATCCCCCTCGCCCGCGAAGCTCTCCTTCTACGAAACAAGGTCTTGTTTGACTATGGACACGACGCGCAGTGGTGGAATGGCCAATCGATCAATCTTCCCAAGATTGTGACCATCCACGAAGCCAAGGATGGCGACGATGGCTGGGACGACATCATCTATGAAACCCAACGGTTGATGGCTTTCTTGGATTCCACCAAGCGCGCTTTCGGCAGCGCCGACGCCCTGTCAAACCTGAAAAGCATCTTTTCCACCTCGGCCGACTCGGAGGAGTCCGTCACTCGGTTCCTCGAAGCATGGCACGGGGCAGCTGTTCGAGCAGACCCTGACAACCAGATGGCCTCTACGTTCTTGTCACACGCATACAAACAAGACCCCTATGACTATGAAGAACCTCAATCCAAAGAGCTCTTCACCTTCGCGCCTCCTGTCGAGAATTACCATCGCCAGACGGCAGGCCAGACTCTCTACGACGTCTTCGACTACGCGATGTGGAGTGACACACCCGGACAAGCCCTGGATGATGTCTGGCTGGAGCATGTCGCAGACGTTCTCACAATCAAGCTTGATGCTACCGGAGACGCGACGTCAGTGGGGATCAAGATCCCAGCTGTTTTTTACCCGGATCGATATCTGAGCGGTTGCCGAGAGCTGGCCCGTGAGTACCGGACCAAGCGACTGCAGATGGAGGAAGACCTGTTGGAAGTGGAGCGACGCATCGATCACTACACCCACCCAAAGACGATTGAGGGTAATGTGACATACGTGGACCTCTTTGAGCAAACTGCGGAGGCGGCGCCTATTGCTGTACCAAAATACTGGCCGAAGAATGCCGACGGTAGTGAACGCAAGCCCCCATTGACCATGGAGC